GTCTGAGTCATTTGGCTTCATAGACAAATATAACTGAGTATTATCTGCATAGCAATAAAAATCTATGTTGTGTTTCCTGATAATATTGCCTAAAGGGAGTATGTATAAGAGTATGAAGAGAATTGAGCCCTGTGGAACGCCGTGACTAACTTCAGTTTGTGTGGAACATTCGTCATTAACATGAACAAATTGAAATCTTTCTGATAAATAAGATTTTAACTAACTTAGTGCAGTTCCTTTAATCCCAATAACATGTTCAAGTCTCTGCAGTAAGATGCTGTGATCAGTGGTGTCAAAAGCAGCACTGAGATCTAAGAGGACGAGTATGGAGACAAGTCCTTTGTCTGAGGCTAGGAGAAGATTGTTGGTGACTTTCACCAATGCAGTTTTTATACTATGATGGACTCTAAAGCCTGACTGAAAATCCTCAAACAAATCATTCTTGTGCAAGTGGTCACATAACTGCTTAGCAACAGCTTTTTCCCGAATTTTAGAAATAAACTGAAAATTGGATATTGGTCTATAATTAGCTAGGACACCTGGGTCAAGAGTAGGCTTTTTGAGAAGAGGTTTAATTACTGCAACCTTAAAAGCCTGTGGAACATAACCTGTTAATAGAGAGAGGTTAATCAGATCTAGTATGGATGTGTTGATTAGGGGAAAGACGTCTTTGAGCAGCCCGGTCAGGATGGGGTGCAGGAGACATGTTGATGATTTAGATGAAGCAATTCCTTGTCAGCTAACTTCTAAACTTGATAAATCTCTCAGTTACTCAGGAACATGAGCTGCCTTTCTAGGGCAGCCTGGAGCTGCCAGTCCCGTGCGATGGGAAGTAGTCCTCCTGAGTGGCTAGGCTGGAGCTGTGCCTGCTCCCAAGCTCTGACAAAGGTGATAGACTGTATGGGGGCTCATTAGTGCTTGCTGTTTTGAATTGCTGTGCTGATGGTCTTTGCCAGTGACCTCAAGACTTGTTCGTGGCATCAGCGGTGACACCCCTCCCCCTGATGCCTTTGGGCTGCAACGGGGGATGTGTTCTATTGTGCCCCTCCTCTGGCACAGCTGGCAATCTGCAGTGTCTGCCATGCCTCAGCAGTACAGATTGGATGGGCTTGGGAGAATGTCATACACTGACTGGATGAAAAACTTGACTCGTGATGGTTCTGCTCTCCAAGGATCTGTCCAAGTGATCTTTTGACATTCTGCCTGCTCCTGTCTGGTCCATGCAGCCTGGTTGCTCATGCTGACCATCTGGCTACAGCATTCTTCTTCAGCCTCTGTGCATATCTAGTCCAGAATGAGCTGATGCTTCTCCTTTCTGTGGGTCTTGTCACAATGTGTAGCAGGAAAACAGCCCAGGCCAAACCACCATATGACCACAGCGCCTACCAAGGCCTTGTGCTGCAGCTTTGGTTCCACTCTGTCAACTGCTTCCTGCACCTGCCACTTCCACCCAGTCTTTACAAGAATGCCTACAGAAGCAACTTTGATGTCAGCAGAGTCCTGGTACATCATGATCTCACTCACTCAAGTGACCTTGAACTCCTTAGACAGACCACTGATGGGAGGGTTGCAGCTTGGTGGAATGAACATAAAGGGCTATTACAGCATTGTAATATAAATATTGTAATGACCCCCGGCGTGGAAGAGAGAGACTACCTATACTTGAGCAGCTAAACTAGCTAGCAGGGCGCTAGCACCTATGCTGTCAATTAGTGCCTACTCCAGGTCCCATACACCGCACGACTCTGGGTAGCACTTAGCGTCTATTCCAGGCCCCATACACCGCACGACTCTGGATAGCGCTTGGGCGTGTCCTTCACAATGACTACCATGCAACTCTGTCTTTCTGGTCATTTATTTAGAACACAGAACCGCACCACACATCACATTCCCAACAGGGTCAGTTTTACACATACAACTTAGACTTATGGTTCAGAACACAGCACACAACTAGCTAGCAAAACACATAGCAGTATAATTCATTAAGATAACACACAACAGGGTAACACATCAGAACACAATAAAACACTTATACAACTGTTCTCCGAAGTCATCATTGAGCTCCCATGATGCCCCCCATGCATCATGTCACTGCCACCAGACCCCTCCCCAATAGCCGACGTAGGTCGCCACACAATATATGCAACCACTAACAATGACTATCACATTTTACAGATTAACTGTAAAAGAGTTCATTGGTTTCTGATCAGAGTGACTGCTGACAGATGAGGCAGCAGGATTAATCAAGCCTGGCTGTTAGCCTGGTCTGGCGCAGGCTACGCCTACAGCTGCTTTGGTCAGTCAACCATCTAAAAGGTAAAGAAAGATCCTTTTTCTGCAATAAAATAAGCTGATTATTAAAAACTGGTAATGTAGGCTACTATTCGGCAGGTTTTACATTAGTGTTAACTGACTTCAGTGTAGATGTAACCTACTTAAAAAGCATAAAAGCAAAAACATTTAAACCTGAGAGCAACCTGAAAAAATTAATGTTAATATGAACTTCCAACTGCGGAAGACTAATTTTTTTATTTTTTTTTTTGTGCACTGGCTAGCTCTAAACCTATCTTGCAAATTTGATAACCAAATTCACAAATGTAATCCTAATTTCATTGAATGATGTTATTGACCTTATTGTTGGAAGAAAGGAGGATAAACAATAATTAGGCTGTGTGTCAACTGATGCATGTGGTTCATTCCATTCCAGCTGCATAAATGAAAATACCACCAGCAACAACTTGTGAAAAATGGTGCCCCCCCCCAAAGCATTAGACTTTACAGTATTTTATTGTATTTGTGAAAAAAGTACTTAATTTTCAGCTGTATTTTTTACAGAAATTTATTACAGATTAGTTTTATGCCCATGGCTCCAATGGTCCAACAGAAATATGTTAGAATGCAGTGTGCTCTCCATCTCATTCCCTGGAAGATCAAGGTCTTATCATCCACTGAGTAGTGTATCCTCACTGCTGCAAACCATTCAGTGTCAATGGACTTCAGCTTTGTCACCTGGCACTGGTTTGTCGTGAATTTTGTTCAAAACCCCTGTCATGGCTCTTGTCATCCAGTTTCTTATCTTACCTGCTCCCTGACATTTATTGCTCACTTTTGTATTTCCTTAGTTTCCCCGTTTATCCATTCTGTCAGGTCTCAGATTGTTTTGGGTTTTCTTTTTAAAGCTGCCTAGACTTTCAGTTTTTTTGTGTTTCTGGAACTTTCAGTCAGCTTTTCCCATTAAAGGTTTTGTCCCTTCTTGCCTTGTGTCTGTATCTGAATTTGGGTTCTCCCCCTTGCCAAACCTTGACTTTCACTGCAGCAGTTTTTGAAATATTTGAACTTATATAATTGACTAGTTAGTGTTGCTGAAGTGTGAAGTCGTTTAAACGATATTCATTGAAGTAACCTATCTGTGCGCCTCTTTGCTATGGTCTGTGTGCCAGCCACTTCACTCGTGCGCTCTGATCACCTCGCGCCTACTGGTCGACCCCGGCGTGAGGGGGCGGCACCAGCTGGCGCAGTGATGCTCGAGCTGGATAGCGAAGCTGCATTCATGACCCATAGGAAATAACAATGCATATAAGCTTGCAATTAAAGAAACTGGAAGTGTGGCTTCTACATTTCTGTAATTCTTTCTTGGCCCGCTGCTTGGCTTTATGTGCAGGACAGATGAGGGATGGTGTAGATTCAGCTCCACCAATTGTTAATAAACCGCAAGTTAAGTATACTGTAGATGGAAGACCTTCTCTTACTCTAGTCTCAGTTTCTCTTTCATAAAATCAAATTCAAGCCACAGAGCTACATCAGATTTTCATACAAATATCCCTGCTGTGCTGAATGTATTTCCAGAATTCTCAAAGACTTCTAAGGCTCTGGAAAAAGCCCATCATTTGCACAACTTTTTTATAAAACATTCTCCTAAGCTATTGTCACAGTTTTAGGTAACCTGAAATGATGTATTCTTGCTTCGGGCAAAATATTTATTTTACACAAAAATATAAAGAAGGTTGCGGGTTTGTGACCTTTCTGTGCAGAGTTTGTATGTTCTCTTCGTGCTCGTGCTTGCGTGGGTTCTCTACGGCTACTCTGGCTTCCTCCCACAGGCCAAAGACATGTGGCTTAGGTTGACTGGTGTCTCTAAATTGAATGTGTGTGTGAGAGTGGTTGTTCGTCTGCATGTTGGCCCTGCGATGGACTGGCGACCTGTCCAGGGTGTACCCTGCCTTCGCCCGATTGCTGGCTGGAATTGGTTACACCTCGTTTGGGACTGAGCGGCATAGAAGATGAATGAATGAATGAAAAAATATAAAGATTGGAAACAATTGATTAATATTTACCAAATTAAGTGGCTATATTTAAAATTTTGGTTCATGGTGTACAAATTGAGCAAGTAGATCAAATTTCTGGCTGCCACCTTTGGAATAGATAAGTAGCATTTGGGCTGTAAATCTTTGTGTGTGTGTGTGTGTGTGTGTGTGCAATGAATGGACAATTATTTTGACGAAAATGGTTAGAAGAGCAAATTTTGGTTTTTGAAAAACTGCCAGGTCGTTTTTTTGAATCCATGGCTGTGAGTCCAGCTTTTACATGACAGGAAAAACTGGGACTAATCTTATAGTAATCTTTAGGAGAAGTTTATGATCAGTCAAAACCACTGATCAGAATAATGTAAGTCCTACTGTAACTAAATCAAATAGATCAAGAATTATAAGTTAGAAATAGATCTAATTACTTTACACAAACACTGGTAAAGCTACAAAATAGGCTTACAGCACTATACCATTTTTGCAGGATGCTATACTGCTGTAAAATCTTAACCACAAGCTGAGTTCAAACAAATTATACCTCCATATACAGCTGAATTTTATAAACTATTTTTTTTATTGCAAACTTGGTCATAAAACTGCTCGGAGTTGTGAGCAGATAAGCAGGAACCTGCCATTTCCCCTTTTCCCGAGGGAATTGAATGCAACATCATTTCTCGACCGTTTTGGCACGATTCTCTCTGAGCTTCCCTGCGCGTAAGACTGCGCTTAGCATTACAGCATTTAGCACAGGATAGTCTCACTCAGATAGTGCAATGATTTAGGCACATCTGTCTACACCTGAAATAGCATTTGAAATCACCCCAGAATAAGTCATCTGTGTAGATACAGTCACCACTGGACAGATACACCTGGTTTCTTTGGAAGAAATCAGACAGGGAACAGTTTGGCAGTGATCTATCAGCTTTCCAAACAAAAAAAAAGTGGTAGCGCTCCGTCCATCGTTTTCATGCAACAGCGCGCGTGGTTGTGAAGCCACGGAGTCAGGGAGGGAAACCCAGCAGATCTGGTTGGAGTCTCCGCAGGAACCCCGAGCGCCTTTTTAAACCCAATGGAGCGTCACGGTGATGGAGAAGAGCCGGTCGGTATCTTAAACCATCATGATAGTGCAGAGGAGCCCGGTAAGAGCGCCTTATTCCCGTGCAATTCTCCTCTCAAATTTGGGTGGAAATGAAGGAATAGGCAATTATTATAAAGATGATATGTGTGAGGCGAAAAAATAAAGCTTTGCATGTGATTATAAAGATGATATGTGTGCGCTGACGCTGAGGCGAAAAAATAAAGCTTTGCATGTGTTTGCACCGCAGTTTACACTCATGGGAGATATGATTACGTTCTTTCTGTTGACTTGGTGGATTGTAGCTGTTCATATAACGCACATGGGCGCTGATCAGTGCTGCCTGGAGTTCATCAAATGATATTTTACATTAATCTGCTCATTAGTTAGACTGCTATTAACAATATGATGGTCATTTTAACACGTCTGCATAGTATAGGCACGCTGATACTGATATTATGTTTATTGTTTTTACTTAACATTAACCGTTAAGCCATAGCTATTTGATTCACTCTACATTGTAGCTCCAAAGGTTCCAACCTGTCCTCATGGGAAACTTGTACAATTAGTATGAAAAGCTACTGTATGTGGGATGTGTAAACCCAACCCAGAACAGTTTAGTGCAACGGGTAGTGCATATGTTTCTGGAGGATGCACAGACATCAGTTCACCGTCTTCAGTCAGCTGTAGCTTCAGGACAAGCGGAGCTGCACATACAGTATTGTCTGTGTGTTATGTTATTAAGAGCCCAATTATTGTATCACTTATAACTAAATCTTCCTCAGTGTGAGACCTCTGAAAACTTTGACAATTTTAACATGACTAAGCTGCATCACCTTAGTGAAACTTTAAACATAAAATAATGATTTGACGATTTGAGTTATTTGTCCATATTACCCACTCATGTGCTGCCCCTTGAGCTCATTGCTTTGATTTACCTGTTTACTGTGGATTTATCTTGAAGAAGTGAATAATGTTTGCTGAAACATTGATTCATAGTGGACAGATGGCCTTACATCCTGTGAGGTTTTTATTTCTGACGAGCTATTTGGTGTAAGCCTTGGACATGGCAGGGGAGTAGGTGGCTATACGGTTTAACACTGATTCAGTGCTAAACAATTTTGTTGCTTTGTTTTAATTGATAGAAAAAAATAAGGCTTAGCTTTTCCTGGTGCCTATTCATCCATATTTCCCACAAACCCCGGTGCTTTCTATCAGTGTTAATTTTGACACCTGAATTTGATTTAGTTTTAATCTCTTTTGACAACAATGAATATTAGTTTTAGTCAAATTTTAGTCTACTTTTTGCCTATTTTAATATTTGTTCTGGCCTGTGTCTTCTTCATCCTGGTTGTGTACAGTTATCATGGTTACACATGCTGTTCCCATCTATTGTGAGGTTTGTGGAAAATGGTTTTAGTCACACAGTGTCGCTCTGCTCTGCAGAAGTTGGACTCACTCACATTTGAACTAAAATCCTCATCACTGGGTTCAGCTTGAGAGGTGACACTAAATCAGTGGATAACATTAAAACAGTGAGATCTCTGCAGCCAACATTTAGAGCTGATTTATGGTCAACAGCCATCTTGATCCTGGAACTGACAGCAACACAAAAGATATCTGACTGAAAGGAACGTTAATGTTCCATCTACGTCCACAGCATTTCATGTTAAATCATCCTACTGCTTCATATGGCTGCTGCTGCATTTTCCTAGTGTGTCCCAGCGGTTTCTATGCGTAATTCTCTGGATCGTAGATGAATCTGACTGATAAACCTGTTTCTTCCAGGAAGTGCTACCACCAGAGAAACGATGTTGCTGAATGGACAGTAGAGATATTTTGGTGGTGGAGGAAACTGTTTTACTGATCAGCACCTACAGTTTGTGACTCTACAGATGTGGCAGGTTAATAAGTGACTTCATGGCCATTCGTCTTTTTATCACAATGTCATTCACTTTTTATTTGTTGATGAAAAATGATAAAAAAAAAGTTCTTATTATCAAACATTACTTTATATTAAGTTTTAGTTTTGTTTTTATTCTGAAAACTACAAATACTTTTTTCATAGTTTTCATTAAAAAAATTAACACTGCTTTCTATCCTCCCCTTCACCAGCGCTGGTGCAGCAAAGTTATTATACTGAAATCTTGTTTGTTACTGCTCATATAAATTTGCCCATA